TCCCAATTGGAGGGCTTGTGCTTTATTTTGCTTCTCAAATGAAAATGAGATTTGAGAAAAATTATTAAAACATTATGATGATTAACACTTATACGTAATTAGAGGAAAAAGTATTTTTATGTTATTGTACTTATATTTTTTTTTTCTTTGTTTCATTTTTCAGTCATGCCAAGCTGACCTTGTGAAGGACAACGGTCACAAGTATTTCCTCTCAGTTTTGGCAGATCCTTATATGCCAGTAAGCACAAGTCATCTTCATTCGGGCTCTTCTAGTATTCGCTCAGCTTGTCTTAGCTTATCTGTTGCTGTCCTGCTGCAGCTGGTGCTAAGGCAGGCCTGCCTCCGTCCCCCGGGACACCCCCTGCTCTGCCGAGCTCTGGAGTCAGTGACCGGGGGGGTTAAAAATGCTCCTGCCAGGTTACGTGATGGAGGCAGCCAAACCGAACAAGAATTTGCAAACTTTGATGTTTGAAGTTACCTAAGTGCAGATTACTCAGCGGTGACGGTGGGAGCTGGGGGCTGGCTGCAGAGGCAGCCTAATTGCGCTGCGACTTTCGTAATTCCCTCTGCAAAAGTGTTTTGTGGTTTCCTGTAACAGGTATTTGCATGCCTCCCCAGAGTGATATACGGAGGTTGGCTGGGAGGGTTGGATGCTCTGGGCAGGCTGATGATGCACGCTGATGAAGTCTCTCAGGTGTAAATAGTGACAGGACTGCACGACAGGAAAATTTAGCTTTCTTTCCCCTCTCTTGATGTTTTAATGTGATACAAGCTACCTTCAGAATAATCTGGTGTTTCAGAAAGCATGGGATATAGTCATTCTCTGACCTGTTCTCTAGCTAACAATTCGTTGTGTATTGTTTTAAGGCTGAGCACCGGACAATGACTGCTTTTATCCTGGCTGTAATTGTTAACAACTACAACACTGGACAGGTGAGTTCTGAGATCCTTTGTCCTTTATTCCCTCCTGCCTCTCATCTGCATTGTGCCTTCACTTTGAGAAAAGTGTCCTGGCTGGCATTAAAGCACAACCCTGAGCTGGAAAGCTGAAATAGAAGGTTGCTTTACATTATTTTTGTGTGGATTAAAAGAAAAATTGACCTGGAGGCATGACAAACACATTACGTACCTGGCACCTGGAAGGGGAGGTTAAGGACACAATGACGGCCACCCCTCCGGGCAGCGCACTGACACTAGTAAAGAAATAGTGTCCAGTTCCTGACAAGTGGAAACCTGATGGCTGTGATAAACTTCTTGGGAAGGATATATGGAATGAGCCGTAAACCATGGGGCTCTGACAGACACAAGGAGTATTTCCAGTGAGGAAAAAACAGGCTTTATACATCACAGGAAGCATTGCTAATGCTCAGTTATTTAACTAGCTGTTACAGTATGTAGTTGACCTTCCCTTCATCCTGCTTCCAAATGGTATTGTGTAACAAAATCAGTATATAACCATGGAATAATTATTTTCTCTTGATTTCCTGTCTGTTTCAGAAATAATCTTCTTTTTTGATGACGAGGTGGGAAGCTGTCATCCAAAATAAATTGCATTGATTTGTGTTTTAGGAAGCTTGCCTTCAAGGAAACCTGATTGCTATTTGCCTGGAGCAGTTAAATGATCCGCATCCTCTTCTGCGTCAGTGGGTGGCCATTTGTCTAGGACGTATTTGGCAGAACTTTGACTCAGCCAGGTGGTGTGGTGTGAGAGACAGTGCTCATGAAAAGCTCTACAGTCTCCTCTCGGATCCAATCCCAGAGGTAAAAATCCAACTTTTTAAATGAACACCAGTTGAATTGTCAGAATTCTGGCAGAGGGCTAGAGAAATACTTAAAAAGCCAGGACCTTCAAGAGCTTTACAATTGTGTCTGGTTCAGAGAAAGATCTTACTGCTGTTTCTTCAAGGTGGTGCAAATCATCCAAGCCCTGCGAGAGAAGTAACCAAAGAAATGCAGGGGGAGTTCATACAGCCCGAAAGCCCCGGAATCTTGGTACCGGAGTTAGGAAACACTGAGGGGTTTGCTTACTTGCATATCAGAAGCTTGTTAAAAATGTGGTCCAAAACGCACTGTGTATTGCAAAAAACCCTCTAGTCTTTTTTTCTGAGTATGAAAACTGTTCTCCTCCTGGTATGTGTGAAAATCCATCTTTAATTGAACGTGTTTTACCTTTGTGACAAACTCTCCAAGAGAGAAGGGATTCTTGTGCAGAGCCTGGCTGTGATTGACAGAGCCTGTCAGACCCCAGTGAAATTACATCGCGTGTGGGAGCAGTAAGCCTGGAGATAAACACCGCTGCTAACGTGCAGCGATTAAAGATTAGATTCCCCTTTACACTCAGTCTTCCTGTCCTGCGTCCCTCATCTCCTTTCTCCTGCCCCGTCTTCCCCCCGTTTTATGAGCGGCGTTTGTGCGAGGGTCCTTTCGGCACACCCGCACCGCTCTGCGAAGCCGGAGCCAGCCTTTCCGCAGTTGCGGATTGCCCCGTACCCCCGCCGTTGGCAGCCTCTGCCGAGGCAAGCTGTAAGATCACCAAGCCATCTGATCTCTCTGCTCTTTGCATGGTCTGGCAAAGTTTACCCTGATTTGAGCTGCTGTCTTTTCTCCTTTTCTTTTTTCCATCATGCTCTTCCTCTCTGTAAGCCCTTATCTGAAGGCTGTAGTTCAGCACTCTTATTAAAGAGATTCACATCCCAACAGTAACTCCCTGCATACCTTATTCCTGTTAATTAATATTCTAGGCAACGTCAACTGGAAAAATCACCCATGGGAAGGTCACCAAGTATTCTGGGAAATTAAATATACTCCTGCATCTGTGAATACTTAAAACTCAGTGCTTTGCTGAATTGTTCTGCTTTTTACTCTCCATGGGCTTCCATTTAGCCCTCACTATTTACCTGACGCAGTAGTCCAGGTTTCCAGAGATGCCATTTGTGGGGATTAAAAAAATCCCACTGGCAAACTTCAGGTTGGAAACGAGGAAAATAATAATGAATGTTTGTGTGTCTCAGGTTCGCTGTGCTGCAGTCTTTGCACTGGGAACATTTGTGGGCAACTCAGCTGAACGGACCGATCACTCCACCACCATCGATCACAACGTAGCCATGATGCTGGCCCAGCTCATCAACGATGGGAGCCCCATGGTTAGAAAGGTACGGAAGGGCTGGCGGCGCAGGCTCATGCTGATGAGCTCTGTGCTATGCCTCATCAGAGCATGCGTTATTTAATAGGCTTTTCAATGAATTTGACTCATTTGGAAGCATCTGCTTCATCCTGAAGTCTTTCCTGCTTTCGGCACCAGTGAAAACGGCGGCATCACCCTGCGGCCGAGGGCTCGGCACTGAGCCTTACGCTGCACATCCATAGCGTTCTGGGATGCCGCTTTATCCGCTCGCCCTTTTTCAGTGCACATGCTACAACATTCCATTTACTCTGCAATATAAGGAGCCTACTGACAGCAAAGTGTAGCATGTCATCGTGTCCAGGTGCTGACAAGATTGTTGTTCAGATCAGAATGTTTCTGCTTTGTAGCAGCGGACCTCCGATTCAGCTCGTGTATTCATTCCACTACGCAAATGTCTGAAACAGGAGTAACAATCTCAGGGTTTTGTGGGAGTTTTTATATCCTGGTTTTTGTGGTTTGTTTTTAATTTAAAGGGAATGCGAAGGCAGCGATAAGGAAGGAGAGCAATTACACTGAAGTCTTTTTTAGGTGCACAAAACACTGAGAATTCTTGCTGGGCCAGTCTGCTAATATTCTGTTGATTGCAAAATTTTATGTTACTGGATCTCAGGTTTTAAATGTAATAGGAATGTGTTGCTAGAAACATGGAGTATGTGGCGGTCCTAGGGGAGGAAGAGGAGAGGGAGTAAGAGCGCTGTGGAGAGGACATGAGAGCTCTGTTCAGTAAAAAGATCTTGTTGCTTTTAGAAACCACAAGGACGGATGACAGACAAAGTAATTCTTCAGATTTTAGAGAATTACAATTTCTGATGCGCCATTGTACATTAAATAGTTTTTGACGTCGTGGATTGTTCTTGATGGGTGTACTTAGGTGTCCTAATGCTTGGGTTTACTTAACTGGAACATCAACCCCGTGACAGTTGTCACCAGCATTGGAGGATTAATTTTTGTTGTCTCGTTCCAGCATTTTATCAGTTTAATTCAAGAGAGGACTGCATGTCAGACTATATGCTCTTTGAGATTCATAAATCTCTCTTTGGGAGATTAGTCCCCTGCACAGAGAGCAGCCCCCAGAGCCAGTCCCCCACCTCCCCTGGTTGCTGTTTCCCAGCACGCCGTACCGAACCAGGGTCTGAGCCTCACCTTCTCTGCCCTCCCCGCCCCTGTAACTCCGGTTCCCGAATTGCAGCGGTGAGAATGAAGGGATGATGACCCCTCACAGGCAGGCAGCATCGTTCTCAGGTAGCTGCTGACTTTGCAGGTCAGTACGAGACTCTGCGGGTCAGCGTGGGATTCCAGCACCGGGGCTTGGCGTGGAAGAGCTGAGCCATGTCCCCAGCGGCCTCTTGTCAGAGTCGGTTTCCTTCAGCTCAGAGCAAATGTAGGACAGGCTGTAGGACAGGAGCTCCGCGCCGTGCGTACGTGTGCAGCACGGGGTGCGGGTCAGGCTGTGCCACGGGGGCTGAGGACACCAGTCCTTGGCACAGCTGATGGCTGCTCCGCAGGAAGCACGCGCCTCTCATGGGCAGCCCGGGAGCAGAGGGAGCTGGCTGTGAGTCGCTGGCTCAGTGCTCTCTGTGACGCTGCATCCGTTTGACAATATTGGGCCGAATCAAAGAGCAGTGGGAGCCTGTTCAGGTATAAAAGACGTGAGAAGAATTAGATTTGAAACAGAGTGCTCTGCCCTGCTTCAGTTCATCTCTGTGAAGTGAAGGGAAAATTACTGCTCTGGATGGCCACCCAATATCAACTCTAACGACCACATTGTTCTGTGTTTCCCTTTGGTCCGTTGTTTCTGACCTACATAACCATGAAATACCTGTTTCTTCTGCCCTTTCCATAGGAGCTGGTGGTGGCTTTAAGTCACCTGGTGGTTCAGTATGAGAGCAATTTCTGCACTGTCGCCTTGCAGTTCATGGAAGAAGAGAAGAATTACCCTCTCCCTTCTCCAGCTGCTACTGGTAGGTGGTTTGTGCTTGTGTGGGTAGGAAATGTATAGCCTGAGGGCGCTCGGGAACTTGTCTTTAAGGCGTTTGCCCAACACAGTGAAATTCTTGCTGGTGATGATTTATCAAACAGGCACTGTTGCCACAAAGTTGAGTGGCGTGGTGGGTAGCTCTAATGTCTGTTTAGCACTGTAATATATTGCACTGGAGAAATGCATCCTCCGCTGAGGCTCCATCTAAAACACAGCTATAGCTCGCCAGCAAGTTGTAGAGACTGAACAGCCTGTCAAATTCAAAAGGATTCCCTTCGGATCAAGATTGAAGTGTATTTGTCAAGGCAGTACACAGGCTTATCAACTTCCCACCTCCTTCAAATTATACCTGAAACTTCAGTGTCCTGTTGACCTAACGAGAAGCCTCAGCACACAATGACGAACCAACCATGCTCTTTGCTACTGTAAAGCACCAGACAAGAAGCAGTGAAGAACTTTGTGCTCTGCGCCTGTGGTCCCATCCCTTTTGTTGTGTCTGTTGCTTTATGTGAGGAGTGAAAAGCCCTAGTGCAATTGTTGCTAACCTCATGTTTTCTGTAGACGTTAAGTACGTTGGAAATCTTGAGGATAATGGGACTGTTGCAACGGAAACTTGGAGACAAGAGCATGTGCTGCCTCTGCGATGAGTAGTTTAATGTCCCTATTGTCTGAACAACTAAATCATACTGGAAAATAAGCTTTTCCACACTAATCCTTTTTGCTGCAGGAAATAAACATTACATACCGTTTATATAGTGGTTTTCCTTATCCAAAAGCATCCTGAAGTATTTATAAGTAGGATGCACTGGAAGCACTGGCCCCACCACCGTAATGCAGCCACCTCTGCAGTGAAATAAAATAGCTCGTCTGAAACCATGGTACTGTCTGTATACTCAGGAATGAAAATGAGAAAGTTTGGGAAATTCATGGGTGAAATATGAGTTGAAACTGGGCCTGAAATTTGGTCAGGAAAGTAGGATTTTCATAACTCTTTATAATGAGAAAATTTACCGGATTTTTAATGAGCAGAAGCAGACAGAAGCCAACGCTGCCTACTAAATGACGTCTGGTGTAGCAGCGTGTCCTAGCACAATGTCTGGGCAGTGGCCCAGCATCGACCTGGAGAGAAGAGTCGTCATGCCGCTCTGGGTAGTCTGCGGGCATTGGCAAGGCTCAGCTCACCTGCTTTATTTGATGTAACAAAATGACAGCCTAAGCAGCAGAGGCACATGGTCCTTGCTGATTGTGTGCCCAGAGGAGCCTTTGTCACACCTCATTCCGCTTCAGCCTAGCGGGCAGTGACTACATTCTGTTCATATTGGTAGTATTTTAGTTATATATTTGCTGGGAAATAACCAAAAGGCTATGATCGTTTTGGTTACATCTATAATTGCTGAATTTTGCATCCACAGAGGGCGGGAGTTTGACACCAGTGCGAGATGGTCCGTGTACGCCAAGGCTGCGGTCTGTCAGCTCTTACGGGAACATCCGAGCAGTTACCACAGCTAGGAACCTGAACAAGTCCTTGCAGAACCTTAGCCTGAATGAAGAATGTAAGAGACGATTCCAAATTCTTTCCTTTTCCTTTCCCTTTTCTTTCCCCCAACCATCTCCTGCAAGTTAGGAAGGACATGCCACCTGTAAACCAGCATGAGCCGAAACTAACGGTTTAGCCCAGGTTAACCAGCTGCCAGCTCCGAGGGCTCAGATGAGAAGCCCCCTCATAATTAGTTTCAATTTTCTGGTCATTAGTGTTGATTTTTCTGAGTGTTTGGGAGCTAAAAAGGTGCCTTCCAACTTTCTGACATACATGGATTTTTAACTGAATCATTTCTGACCCCTTGGTGCTTACTGTGTATTTAAACTTTCCGTGTTTAAAAGGAGACGTGGATTTGCCTAAACCTTTGTTGAATGTTGCAGGGTTTAGGAAAAGGCTGTTAATCGTGGGTAAAAGTTGTTCTCACCAGTTCTTGTTTCAGCATCTGCTCTCTTGTCTTTTGGCAGCTGGAAGCTCTGTTGCATTTTCTCCTGGGAATCTCAGCACCAGCAGCAGCGCCAGCAGCACCTTGGGCAGCCCTGAGAATGAAGAGTATATCCTGTCGTTTGAGACTATTGACAAGATGAGACGAGTCAGCTCTTACTCTTCTCTGAATTCACTAATAGGTGAGTGAAGACCCTCCTGCCCTTCCTTTGGTGTTGCCTTTCTTCACGTGCTTGCACTAGCTTTTGTGGAAAGTTTGGCTCTTAGCTCCTGCTAGGTCTCACTCCAACAGAATTTCTCATGACAGTAGAAATGCTGCTGTTGTGTGTGGTTAGGCTACGCGCAGAGCGGAGTCCCTCCTGCGCTGATGGAGGGACTGGAAATGAGAGCTGGTGCCTCCAGCTGTAAGCTTCACTACGATGGACAACAGTCCTGTTAGGACTTTGAGCACAGAAACGTGGTGCATACAGGAATTTCACATCCACTGCAGTTGCGCTGGCTAGAGAGCGAAGGCGAGGGCTCCCCACCCCGTGGACGTGGCAGCTGGGCAGACTGGCACCAACTGGTCCCCTGGTTATTTCTCACGTGGGTTGTATTTCTGTACAGCACAGCTACTCTATTGTGTTACTCATCCAGGGAAGCCTTACCTACCTAATTTCCTGTGCAGGTTTATATGAACATTGTTAAAATAGGGCTTAAAAAAGAAGAAATCCCAGGCTGTGTCTTAAAAGCAAACAGACTATTTCATAGAAATCTGCTGTTGTGCAAAAAGTTCCGTGGCTGATCCTGCTGCCTCCAGTCCCTTCTCCGTTGTTTCCTCCCGGATAAGCAGTCGTAGCATCAGGGAGAGCACTGAACTTTTTAACACCACTCAGCAGCCCCTTTCTCTCCCAGCGTCTGACTCTCTGGGTAATGTACAGAACTCTGCAGAGCAAAATGGTCTAGCGCAGAAGGAAGGGAATTTTTACTTGCATTTATGCAGCGCATGGCTGATTTGCCTGTAATGGATTATTGGCATTTCTTTTATAGAACAAAACTGGAATGTTTATGTTAAGCTAGTTCAACTCAGTTGTTTTTCAAGTAACTTTGCCAGTCCTGCCTGACTGCTACAATAGCATTGCTTTAAACTAGCTGTGGTTTTTCAAAGAATCTAGCCCATTTTGGGGATGATAACACAGGCAGCACACAGACGGACCTCGCTTTTGGAACGGCCTCCTTCCAGGGAGCAGGGGAAGCCAGCGCACAAGGAGAAATGCTGGGGGAAGTCTCTGTATTTTCTTTGTAATATTTTTCTAGCCTTCAAAAATGAGTGAAAAGAGAGTGGTGTGAGTCAGAGAGGAGTCCACCTGGGTGATGCACGTGCCTCTACTGAAGAAACATTTTCTCTGCTCTGTATTTGCTGGAGGAGGTAATGGTGATTTGGCTCTCCTGAGCTGAAAGATTCTGCGTTTGTAATTCCTGAGCCCTTGAGCACCGGTGGCAGTTGAAAATCATGTGTTCATTAGAAACTTGATCAATCCATTTGCTTTTGATTGTAGGTAATGAAAATGGATCATCTAAAGCGTGACAGGAATGTTAGGAAATTTCTCTCCATATGAAACTAGAACTTGAGTTTTCCTCATTTCACTGGTTCAAACCGGTGTCTGCTTGATGGCTTGTGCATGTCTCACAAGAGCTTTCCAGCACAGCTAGAAAAGAATTGAGAGATGAGCTGGAGATGAGTGAGGGAGACCTAAGAAAACAAAAAGAGCAGTTCTCCAAAGCCTCCCTCATTCCTATTCAATCGGAAGAACTCATATCCAGCTGGAAACGACAGAGCTTATAGAAGTGTTTAAAATTCATAACTCGCACAGAATCCCATTACCTTCAGCATTTGCCTGCTGAAAGCCAGGCTTTTCTCATTTCTGCTGAGGAATCACCATCTTCCAGCCTGTGCTCTCCTGCTCCCCAAGGAAAGAGTTTTCGAAATGCCATCGGCTCCAGCCACCCTCAGGAGTGCTGCGGCTGCTGAGCAGCCAGCCCAGGCTCAGATTAACCCCTTTCTTTAAAGTTTTAGTGTGCAATAAAACACTGCTATATGGCTAGCAAGAGCGGGGTAATGTGGAGAGGAGTCCGGCCGGGTGATAGGCTTGTCTTGACTGAAGAAATGTTTTGCTCTCTTTTGGAAGAAATAACGGTGATTTGGCTCTGCAGTAATGACTCTGCCAAATATTGGAGACAGGCAGAGCAGTAAAAAGGATGGTTTGGGCACATGGGTAGAATCAAACCAAGGCAGAAATCTAGTCTGCAATAATAGGAGTAGACATTTTCAACCAGAGTTTAATTCTGTGTTCTGTACTCTGCATTCCCTAGCTTGATTCACTGATGGTGAGGACTTTCTCTTCCTCTTGCGATTGCAGGAACACGGTGCTAGAAGGATTATTCTGGATCAGTCCGTCCGTTTCACTGACATTGCGGCGTCATACGATGCACTTCTTCCCATAAACTTGAGGAAAACCTCTCCATTCCTTCTTGTGCCATTTTACAAAGAGCTTCTTCGCTAACTATAGGCCACGTGCCCCCGTGTAGTGCCCCCCAAACGCAACGTGTGCTTTTAGTCCAGGTGTGCTGTTTCCTGGCAGACACTGCCTTGGCCAGCCGGTCCTGGTCCCAGAAGAGAAATTCCTTTCTGGCCCACGTTTCCAAGCTGGCAAGAGGCGGTTTTTGGTTAGTCAGCAAAGACATCAGTTTGGATGGGAAGCTAAGCCTTGCTGCTTTTTCCATACAACTAGTCATTAATCTTGGTGTCCTGGAAATGTTTAGTTTAGTTTAGTTTTGAGATAGGAAAAGGGAAGGAATTAAGATGGTGGGTTTGCGTTCCTTGAGGCTGATTATTCGTATTCAGGCTGCATGATTAAAGTCTTTGTCCTAAAGAGAGCATCGCTGGAAAGATTATATTAAGGAATGATCAAAGAAGGAAGAAAATAAATCTCAGAGCAATAAAATGCTGGGGAATAGTTCTTTTTTCCAGCAGGAGAGGCTGGGGGCAGAAAACTATTTGCCATGTCACAAGCTCCGTTCTGAAGAGCGACCTCGAGGTGGCACTGACAGCAGGACGTTACTGCAGTGAGGGTGAGGAAAGCGAGAGGTGTAGGTGGACAGTGAGCCGCAGGAAATGAGAGCGAGGTTGCGACAGGTAGAGCCTCCTTCTCCATCACTAGGCAATACATTTAAATGCAGAGTCGTAATGAGAAGTAACTGGTCAACCAGCAGTATTTATAAATACTCACTTGCATTGTAGTGAAATACAGGGATCTGAGTGGGTTCTGGAAATGGAAGCTTGATGTCGAGGTTTCCTGTCAGTTCATGCTGTTTGCCCGACATGATGGAAGCGAGATGGAGGAGCCTAACGCAGTGGCCAGGGACAATACCGCGTGGAGTAAGCCAGGAACCAGTTTGTGGTATTGCTGAGGCCATGGGGAAACCAGGACGGGGAGGGAAGCGCCAGTGTGTGATGGCTGGGAACGGAGGAACACGGTTTGTTTTCTGGGCTTTATTTCTCCCCTCTGACGTGCCGTTATTTGCCCTGGCCTCGTTCACGTTCTCCACAGAAGAGATAAGGAGATGTGGCACAGGCTGGTCGTGGTCGGCCACTCTCATGTTGGCCATGAGAGCCCTGGTCCAGAGGAAGTGCTTGCTCTGAGGGCAACATACTTCTTCCTAGTGAGCTGCTTCTGGTTTCTGCCATTGGAATCGTCAGGGGCTGGAGTGTGCAGGAACGGCTGCAGGGCCCCGTGCAAAGGGACCGGCTTGCAGACTGTCAGGTCTGCGCAGGGAACGGTGATTTGCTGTTCCTCTAGGGAACAGGCTGCCATCCACATTTGTCAGAGTTCAGAGAACGATCGGCATTTCAGATGTTCTCTTCATCCGAGCAGCTCTCGCAGGACCTTCTATGACACTCGTGGGAAGAGGAGAGACTCAGAGGATATGCGTTCGCAAAGCGGGTGGGATTAGTGTTGATGGGACGCAGACACCGAGTTCAGTCTGAACTATTTTGGCTGGATGTTTTGCTGCGTGCCAGCCCAAGACTTGCCTTTCCCTGCCGGCACAGGAACGCTCAGGCACAGGAGCTGTCTGTCCGAGGCATGCAGCCGCGCGGCTTGCACCTTCTTCTGGAGATCCAGGCTTAAAATCGCTGCAGGGGTTTTTAGATTAGGGGGTTTTAGATTAGAAAGAAACCCTGGCAAAGCCTGGCAAAACAAAAAGAATAAATACAAACATTAGCATTCATTTTTGCATCCGGCGTGGTTCTACCCTTCGTGTGCTCAGTGACCTGGCTGCAGGACCTCAGCCGCATCCCTTCCTCAGGGCGGTTGCGTGATGCTGGCTGTTAAATTGAGCTAAGAGTTATGCATATGCAAAGAAAATCAAAGTCGTCAGTAAAGGCAGGCAATTTATTTTTGACATTCTTAGAGGAGAGGAATCATTTTGTAAACGTAAATCTATACTGCAAGGTCCATTTAACTGACTTTGAATCAGTCTGACTAATTACAGAGCTGTCTGCTTAGATTAACACCCCGTCCCCCTTGCTTGGCTCTTTGTTTGCATCTCATGGATATTTTTTGCATTTTAGTCCATTACATGAAATCAAGCAGCTGTTCCTCCTGTCACCTCTGCTGCCTTCCATTATCCCACTGACTCTGTGCTCAGGTTTTTACAAGGAGCTATGTCAGATGTGTCGCCCGATTCAATCGGCGCAGTGAACAACACCGAGCTGGGCGGGGGGAGTGGAAGAAGAAAGGACCGGTCCTTGAGCACCAGCTCTGAGCCTGAGATGCCTTTGTAGAAATTCCCTCTGTTCTTTTCAAAGGCTGCCGAGTGAATGAGGAATTGCACTGGCGCAGTTGTTTTTTAAATTTGTGTTTTTCATGACGCTTAGATGCATTTAAAATGTCGGGTTTTTTCTTCGTGACTGCGTCATGAATGAGGTGGTTACCAGAGATGCTGGAAAAACTGATGGGTACCCTCGTGCTCTCCCTTTCTCTCCCTTTCCTTTTACTGTCTTTCAAGGGCTTTAAAAGAAATCAAGCTGATCAGATTTCCCATCGGTCCTTATGTAACTTCTGTACGGGACCAAATGTAGGAGGAAGGGCTCTGAGCAGACCTCAGATGACATCAGATGACATCACCTGGCTAGCTGCTTCCATGGCTGGGGCTTTTTCTGCCTCCCACAGCTTGTAGCACCTTGTCTCTCTCCCTCTCTTGCTCCTTCTCCTTCCCCCTCCCCTGTGTTTCTCCCTGGTGATAGAAGCTTCCAGGATGAAGGTGGCAATTGCAAAAATAAAACGAAACGGTCAGAAGCCCGGAGAAGACAGACAAGCATTGTGTCACCATCCTTTGCGGTTGGGAGGCCTGACCCTCTTCCAAGCAGACTGACTTTACTGTGCATTGACACTTCCCGTATTTATATATAAACACGGATACGAGAGCTTCTGAAAAAGACAACGACTTTTGCCTATTATGGCCAAAGCCAAAACCTGAGCTTGAATCTGCTCAACTTGAGCACGCCGTACTCGGGCATTCCTTCATTTCATACGCTTTGGGCTCGATCCTCAGCTGGCAAAACCCAAATGTGACAGATCGGCACCCTTTGTCTCTGCTGTACCTTGACAGTTGTTACTGCTTTCTTGGATTATCAGCTTCTTCACTTTGCCTGGGTGGATTTAACGTTGTTGTCTCTTTGGCTGGGGAGGGTTGGGACTGGCTATAGGAGGCTGATGTATAGGCAGCCCCCAGCAAATGGGCAGCACTGTCAGAAATATTTGTGAGATTTCTGCGTGAAACTCTGCAAGCAGATGCCACTTGGAAAATCCTTTGGATGTCAGCTAAGTGAGAGACCCTTTTCTTTGCTGGCCAGACGAGAGGATGGAGTTAGGTTATTACCTTTAATTTTGCAGAATGCTTTGTCACGTGCTGCGGATTTTTTCTGGCAGAAGGAAGATTCCCTTGGCTGTGCAGCGTGTGTATTCCTGAAGCTTATTACCGTGCGCTGTTGCCTTCCTCAGCCAAAGTCCAAAACTGGACTGTCCAGGTCTATTTTCTGTTGGTTTGCGTCGGGTTTAGTAGCTTTTCAAGGTGAGAAGCTGCTTGCTGGCCAAGGAACCCTGTCTTCTGAACGTACCGCTTTATATATAGATACCTCCAGAAGCACAAAAGGAAATGCAGTAACAGCTTGGTCTGTCATTTACCATTGATTGTGACTCATCCCAAATCCCTATTTTAGGTCCTTTTTTTTGTTAGCGCAACCACTTTAACACTGTCCAAGTGGCTCAACTCCCAAACAACAGTGTTACAACTATTAGGCATTGCGAGTATTAGAAGAAAGAATAATAAATTAAAGATTCTCCTAAAAGCAGCAAAATAAAATGTTCACGGAATTTTGTCAGTTGTTGCAAATGCTTATTAATTTGATTTATACTTTAATCTGTCATTCCCTTCTGCTGAAATACCAAATGGCAGATATTCTCATTAAATAACAAATTGGCAATTGAGGGATTGATACAAATGTCAATAGGAAAGACTGAGTTAGACTTACTGCTTCGCAAAGGTACAGGTCCTAAAGCTTCATTTTTAACATTTAGACGTTTAGTAAACTTGTAGAATATATAAAACCCTGAACATTCAAGCTGAGTATTAGTGCTAAAAACAACAATAAAAATAACCATAAAAATATAAGCCAGTAACTGTGGGTTTATACCATTTTAGTATTTTAGCTCAGGAAATGCGAAGGCATTATCCGTTTGGCCTTTTCCGATTATTTGCTTCAGGAGCCTAGAAACTAGCAGTTTGACCGAAGGTTATTTGGGTAGTCTTTAATTTATTTTGCTTTCTCCCACTGTCATTTTACAAGCCCTTGCAGAGTTCACAAAGACAGACAAAATGGAGACAAAATGCCCACGTAGGGTGTTTTTGAGCTTTTCTCTTGATGTTTTCTTAGATGTCATTGTGATGATTGCACTTCTAATGAATTTTCTCACATAAGATCAAAGAGTTTCAATTGATGGATTGTCATGTGCTGTGGGGCTCTATTTTTTCTTTGTTTTTTTATTATTTTAGGTGTGAGTTTCAACAGTGTTTATACCCAAATTTGGAGAGTTCTCCTTCACCTAGCTGCCGACCCCTATCCTGATGTCTCCGACTTGGCTATGAAAGTTCTCAATAGCATTGCCTACAAGGTATGCCTTTCTGCGTTCCTGTGTGTCTCCGAGGCTTCTGTCTGTTAATTTTTTTCATGCTTAGGCAAAGCATAGGTAGACTGAACTGAGTAGGTCCATTGGAGGGCTCTGGTGAGTGGTCCTAGTTCAGTCTGGTTCTGTTGCAGGAAGAGCTTTTAATGTTTCAAGATGATAAACGTTCATATGAACTCTTGATCAGGTAAAATACATAAATGGGGGAGGGCCTGGGATTGTTTTAGGATATAAATTAGGTACGGAGCTTAGACAGTAGGTCTTGTTTAGAAGTCTACTTATCTAGATCAGTCCCTGGGAGAAACCTTAAATATACTTCATTAAATTATCCGTTTGCAAACCGATTTAGATTATGCAAGTGGGACTGGCCTGCAGACTGAAGCCTCAACGGCTCTCCAATCCAGGTGAACTAGTACATGTGAGTCAGCATGCAGACACCCCTGCCACTACTCACCTCCCCAACCCAGGCCTAATCCGCCTAAACCACCATCCTCATCACATTTCATCCTCCAAGGGTGACAAGATGTCCCTGGAGGCTGCCATCACTGCTGGTTCAGAATCGCCAGCCTGGGGAGCCGTAGAAGCACCCTCACCTTCCACCTGAAACGAAGCACCAGGCCACCCCAGAACATCTTCTCACCAACTGCCTTCCCCCCTCTCGCCCCGGTCGGTGGTGTCCCAAAGCTCTCCGAACGCCGTCCTTCCCACGTGCTTTCTAGCTGCTCTAGCATCAAGACCATGAGCCATTGCAATGCGAGATGACGTCTCTTACTGACGATTTCCAGTGGACTTAGGCTTCTAAGCTAAAGCTGCAGTAAGAGATGCCAGCATTGTGCACTACCATCTTAATGCCTTAGAGGTTTCTTGCTTTTAAATCTGATTTGCTGTTGAGAAAAAAAAAACCAAAAAACTAGCTACTTATTTGAACTCTTGTCTCTGTTTTAAGTGTACGTGTCAGTCAGTTGTAAAGTCTGGCTTTTGGGATAGAGAATTATTTTGGCAGTGAGGGCAACGAGGTCAGCCCTTCCCCGATGATTCAGGTTACAGCAAATGGCTGTCAGGCTGGAGGTGCCAAACCGAGGTGAATAGGAAAGTGTGAAGGTGAAAGATTTCCCTCTCTCTGCTCTAGATACACAAAAGTGTTTCAGTTTTGTGTTTTGGAAGGCTCTTTGCAAGGTGAAATATTTCTTCTACTGTGGGATTAAAAGGGATATAGAGAGGAACCAGGTCTGCTTTTCTGGTCTTAAAAATTTTGGCAGGACTTAGTCCCTGGCTAGTGGGAAGAGATGTATAAATCTCGAGAAAGGTGCTCTGTGCCCTGCAGGTGTCTTCACCAGCGCTGCTGCGGGCCTGCTTAGCCAGCAGGACTTTCGGTCGTTATGTCGTGATATCCGTAGTGAACGTTGGGGTTGGTTTGGTAAATCCTGTGTTGATTCTGACAAGTTTGGACCTGAATGTCTGGGTGCTGAATGGAGTCCAAGAGCTGAAGCAGAGGGGTACTGTGCATCCCGTGCTCTGCTTCTCGGACAGCTCTGTGCCTGGCTTTCTAAGGCAAAATAATAAAAAGAAGCATTCCTGTTTAGAAAGATTTTAATCTGGGGATGCTTCAGTCAACAAAACTTATTTGCTCTTTTTTGCCTTAGCTGTAAGATCCATAAGGAAAGTATTTAAATGTGCAATTTGTCCAGCAGGTTGGCTAGCTGCCTGTATCATGGGCTAACTGCTGGGCACTTTGTGGTACTGCAGGCTTTGCTTTTGCCAGTGCCACCTGGCTTAGGTGGCTTCTAAAAGGCTTTTTTTATTTAAAAAAAAATAAAAAAATCTATTAACAGCCCACCAAAATGGCAGTTAAGGTTTCAGATCCTGGGTTATGATCTGGCCTTTATTCATTCCGTTATGGACAAAGCTCCCGCTGTGAGCTGTGCTGCCAGGATTGCCAGCCTGAACTCCGCGTCTCTGCTGGGCTGAGCTCAGACAGATTATAGGAGTTGTCTGATGTGTGATGCACATCAGTAGCAATTCAATTTTTGCTAACTGTATCCTGAGATCCTTCCTTGGTGCTAATGGAGCTTTATTGGACAGAAAAGGGAGCAGCCTGGATGCTGGTCCTCCCGAGTACAGCCTGTGCAAACAATGCGTTTTCCATTTTGTTGTTTGAATTTTATCATTGAATAAAAACAAAAGTTTATCTTCTTAAATAAAAATACTGCTTCAGGTGAAGTAAAGCACTTGAATATTCTAGGGTTTTAATCCTTCTGTTCTAATTAAAACAAAATTCAGGGAACGAGAGGCTTCGTTTTAGAACTTGGACAGCTGAAGTTTTCTTATATTAACGCAGCTGAACAAACCACTGCGACCTGTACGACGGTGCCTGTTACTGTCGGGCTGCTTAGCTGAGAGACCTGAGCAAATCAGCCACAGCCTTCTGCTGCTGCACCGTATCGGTTAACTGCGTCTTCGGTTTGGGTGAACTCAACATTTAGCCTCAAAATGTTGCTAAGCTCTGTGCTTTAAATCTTTATGATTTTTGAAGGTATTTTGTATCAGGCAGGTGTTAGTCGTGTAACTCGGTTGCCCTGATGGCCCAGCGCTTTGAGAGCAGTGTGCAGGAGAGCTTGGCAGGGGTAAATGATGCTGCGCTTCTCGATCCCCTGCAGGAAAACGTGGGGCCGGTGCTGTGAGTTTTGTGACCGTGCACAAGTTCCGATTATAAGTCTGCATTTGTGAATTTAAAGCAGAATTTTTGTTTTCAAATGAGACTGATCCTATTCAGGTTTTTTAACAGAGCCATGAGTATAGATCTTTATCTACAGAACTCCAGTGGTCTTTAAATAGGGTGATGTCTTTCTGAGCAGCCGGTGAGTAGGTTGCACAGCCGTGCGTGCTTCCTGGATGTGAAATATGCCGTTTTATTTCACGGGCTGATTAGACATCGCTAGTTCTCACACAGATTGCGGCTGTGTTGTGATTTATATTTATGATGCAGATTGGAATGGTACAACTCTCGTTCCCAGCCCCATCTTGTAAAAAAAATCCAAAACACACTTTTTGCCTGCACCAAACCAAACAGAAAGGACCAATAAGCAATGCTGGCCTTGTAAGAGGTTTTGAAATCACAATTAATGAAGGAAAGTTCGCTTCCTCCCAGGTTCCTTCATCCAGCTGTTTTTTATGGAAGGCTTGAGGCTGAATTATCCCGGGAATTATTCCTCCACAGCATCACTCCTTGGTACAGGCTTTTCTGTGCATGAGCAAGTCATTCTGACAGGGTGCTCTTTTTTTTTGCTTTTTTAAACCTGGAGTCAATTTGCAAAATCCTGAATTACCATCTCCCCTCCTGAAAAGAGATGATTTGACTGGCAGAGGAGCAAATCCCCAGGAAACGGGGAGCTGCTGCCTCCAGCAAAATCCTGTCGTACAGCTGAACTGCGGCCCTCATGCTGCTCACTGCTTTCAGAAAAGAAATTGCTTTTTTATTTTTTCCAGGAAAAGGCAGGCAGTGTGCCACGCTCTTCTCTCTGTGTACCCCTTCAGCAAATTATCGTTAGCTGACCTTGTCCCTCTGCTGTGAAACAAGGTGACCCGACCCATTCCGGGTGACGGACACCTGACTGCAAGAATCAAAACTGAGCCTTCTGTGACTAATTAAAATTAGTTATGAATCATGATATGTCGCTAGTTGCTAAGTTATTTCTGCTTTCTTCCATTCTCACGGTGTGATGGTCTCCCCCAGCCCAGTAACCTGC